ATGTAGAAGCATAGAAAAATGAAAACAGGTGTCTATAAAACCCCTCAAACATTACAAAGTTAGCTCAATTAGGAGGAGAAGGGGCCAATGGACCAGATACTCATATTAAAGTGGTAACGGGTACTCAGATTGGAATGTCAAGTATTTTAGGATCTGGTGATCAGATTGATGGGACTGGTTGTCTCGGGTCTGATACTCATATTGGCGGGGCTGTTGGTCTCAGGTCTGATACTCATATTGGCGGGGTTGTTGGTCTCGGGTCTGATACTCATATTGGCGGGATTGTTGGTCTCGGGTCTGATACTCATATTGGCCGGATTGTTGGTCTCGGGTCTGATACTCATATTGACGGGGTTGTTGGTCTCGGGTCTGATACTCATATTGGCGGGGTTGTTGGTCTCGGGTCTGATACTCATATTGGCGGAGTTGTTGGTCTCGGGTCTGATACTCATAATGGCGGGGTTGGTGTCCTCGAGTATGCTGATAGTCTAGGGTCTGGGTTTCAAATAAAAAGGGCACGCCGTCTGCGTTCTGACAGACAAGGAAAAGATTAAGAGAACTACGATTAGAAATTCTTCAGAATGCAATTTATCCCATGTCAGCCCCACAGATATTCAACCAGAATCACAAGCTACCGATATTGAATGATTTGGAGGTAGCAGACCGAAGACAACTACATAGTGCCAGGGTAAAGTTCTTCTGTATAGTATATATAACTATCTTAAAGGTGCATTGTCCAACCAAGTATAATGTGTCCGGTCATATAACTGTGAGGGTACCCAAAATGGAACACTTTTGATATATATGGTGCAGCATTTGTTATTTTGCAACGAATGGTATGAACTCTCAATTAAGATTTATATTGCTCATAAACTCAATTGAAACATTAAAATGGTATTATAAACAATCCCGGGAAACGGTACGGTTCAACAACAAAATTTGTTATCATAACATAGACAAAGAAATATTTTAGGGAAGAAATGACAGAAATTGTTAAAAAAAAAATGAAAAAAAAATGCGGTCAGTTATTTTCATAAACTGACTTATATGATGAAGTGTTCCATTTTCGGTACTCGACCAGATTAAAATTCCAAGTAAATCTGACTCACACTAATTATGAGATCTATGAATAGACACACGCGCTGTTGATAGCCTAGAAATACATAAAATGAAGGCTAAATGAATGTATTGTTTCATTTCAGTAAAGAATTTGGTTTTTCATTAATTTTAAAGGAAATATTAATATTTTTTATTAACAAAATATTCATTTTGGGTACACTTACCCTAGATACATATATCTTTATCACTGATATCACAAATCACAACAATATTTAAACATGTTTACATGTACCATTTACTAATTACTTAAATCCATCATGCCAATAATACCTGGTGACCTCTTGTTGCACACGTATGTATGTCTGAGTGTATGAATACACTTCTTTGACAGACTGGAACGACGGGAAGATCATGCGGGTTTAGCGCAAAAGACACAGGTGAAGCTGTGTACACAAATAAAGGTAAGATAGACACATTTTCATGGTCTTATGCCCAAGTGAAAAAAGATCAGCTGACAAACTATCAAACTTACTCGTTTCTCTAAGTATGGACGGTTCGTCGCTTGGGTCAGGGATCGGTTCAACAACTCTGGATCAAAGTGACGTCACCAAGTACTGGCATGGCCGAGACAACATTGGACCGAAATTTACAACGGGAGAACTGTACAACTTGCTGAAGGATATCACCGAATTGTGAGGGGGGGNATGTTGTAATGGATGCAGTTGATTTATTTTGACACAAAAGCAAATTCCAAATTTTGGAATGGGTTTCAACATCCGTCGCCTTTTACGAATCGTGCAGTGGGTAACAGTAGTATATTCATTTCTTATTCCCTGACATACTGATATATATTTTTTGTTTTCGTGTAAACCAGAAAATTTCAGTTAATGTTTCCCAATCAAGAGAACGTTTTTAATTGTTATCCTTTTGTACCAAACTGTACAATAAAATATGCTTGGATCCTACAAAATATGCCGTTTCCTAATAATCACAAGCATGTCAAACAATTGTTCAATTAGGATGCACGGCAGTCTAGTGGTAGGACGACGAGCTCGTGACCGAAGGGTTGCGGGTTCGAGTCACGCAACGACACTGTGTTGTATCTTTGAGAAACGGAAAATAATTTGAGAACCGCTTTGAGACGACCTACGAACTAGATTGTGATAGAGCGGTACATAAGAACCTCGGATTATTATTATTATTCAAATAATCCAAAGGGTAACAACCAAACCAATAAGAACAATTAACCGAAAGGCTGACAACATAGCAGTGTCTGTAAACAAGTAAACAAAACCGTAAAACATAAACTTAGAATGTGGCTTCAAATAATATACAAATCATTTGTATTTTGTTATAAATTGTATGTAGCTGTCAGCTCTGAATATTATAGAATTTATTGAATTTTCAATAGATTCATACAGTTTAAAAATATTCATATTTTCATACCGAGTAACTTTTGATACACGTATGCTCCAGGCAGAATCAACACAAACTTTGCATGCTATATTTAAAAGAGCATTGAATAGCTTTCGATTGGGATTCACAGACAACACAATTGTCAACTTAACAAATGCAAATACTTCGCGCGTTTCATGTTGAATTTTACTTAGTACATTTTCATTTTGTACACCACTGACCCTCCTGGCTGATCTATTCATAAAACAAGCATACATGATACATACACTTAATACATTTAAATGCTAAAAATTGGAAAAAAATAACAATAATCTAAGATTAAAATACTTTTTTGAAAAACGGTAAATATATAGGTATTGAATACTTTCGATTAGTATTCGTAGTCAGTAGGAACTGGAACGTGATAAATTAAACATAGGCGCTATGAAAGCCGACTGAAGGTTAACGCTCAACAAATAATATGTACTTTAATCTCGGAAAAACTCAACTGTTTTAATGATAACAAGAGGCCCAATGGGCCTGCATCGCTCACCTGGTATAAAACTCACACTTGTTACCTTAAAAGTGATCTAAAATAACAGGCAAAATATCAGTATTTATGATTAAAATTCATTCAAAAGACCCTGTTATTTTTTTTTTAAACATTTCACCCCTGTGATTGAAAGTCGAACAAAGTCATTATGTTGAACACATTGTATAGCCTTTCATCTCAGGATGTAACTTGCAAAGCATAAACATCCTGGGACCCATGGTTATTCAGAAGAGGTTGTTTATAGATTTTAAACAAATTTGACCCCTGTGACCTTGAATATAAGTCAAAGTCATTCACTTTAACAAACAAAGTAGTCCTCTATCCCAGCATATGCTACTGACTAAATATCAACATCCTGAGCCTTTTGGTTATTCAGAACAAGTAGTTGAAATATTTTGAACATATTTGACCCCTGTGACCTTGAATATGGGTGAAGGTCATGCATTTGAACAAACTTTGTAGCCCTTCATCTCAGCATGCTACTGGCCAAATATCATCACCCTGGGCATTTTGGTTATTCAGAAGAAGTTGTTTAAAGTTTTAAACATATTTGACCCCTGTGACCTTGAATATGGGTGAAGGTCATTCATTTGAACAAACTTTGTAGCCCTTCATCTCAGCTAGCTACTGGCCAAATATCATCACCCTGGGCATTTTGGTTATTCAGAAGAAGTTGTTTAAAGTTTTAAACATATTTGACCCCTGTGACCTTGAATATGGGTGAAGGTCATTCATTTGAACAAACTTTGTAGCCCTTCATCTCAGCTAGCTACTGGCCAAATATCATCACCCTGGGCATTTTGGTTATTCAGAAGAAGTTGTTTAAAGTTTTAAACATATTTGACCCCTGTGACCTTGAATATGGGTGAAGGTCATTCATTTGAACAAACTTTGTAGCCCTTCATCTCAGCTAGCTACTGGCCAAATATCATCACCCTGGGCATTTTGGTTATTCAGAAGAAGTTGTTTAAAGTTTTAAACATATTTGACCCCTGTGACCTTGAATATGGGTGAAGGTCATTTATTTGAACAAACTTTGTAGCCCTTCATCTCAGCTTGCTACTGGCCAAATATCATCACCCAGGGCATTTTGGTTATTGAGAAGAAGTTGTTTAAAGTTTTTAACATATTTGACCCCTGTGACCTTGAATATGGGTGAAGGTCATTCATTTGAACAAACTTTGTAGCACTTCATCTCAGCATGCTACTGGCTAAATATCATCACCCTGAGCATTTTGGTTATTCAGAAGAAGTTGTTTAAAGGTTTTTTAATACAATTGACCCCTGTGACCTTGAATATAATTGAAGGTCATTCATTTGAACAAACTTGGTAGCCCTTCACCAAAGCATGCTACTGGCCAAATATCATCTCCCTGGGCATTTTGGTTATTGAGAAGAAGATGTTTAAAGTTTTTGACATATTTGACCCCTGTGACCTTGAAAATAGGTGAAGGTCATTAATTTTAACAAACTTTGTAGCCCTTCATCTAAGTTTGCTTCTGGCCAAATATCGACACCCTAGGCCTTTCGGTTATTAAGAAGAAGTCGTTTAAATTAAAATATTTACGCCGGACGACGGACGGACGGACGGACGGACGACGGACGCCGCGCCACGGCATAAGCTCACTTGGCACTTTGTATACGAGCTATGGTGAGCTAAAAATCGTGAAGCATATCCTATTCGTAGTTAGCCCGAGGCCGAGTTTCCTCTGGCCCTTACACCTGTTCAATTTAAGTCTGGTATCGGGACCAGAGGAAACCCGAGGCTATTTATAGTGAGATTCTGAATGTGTTGAGGTAACTGTAGGACCAAAGCACATACCAGTCCCTACGTACGTGCAATTGATGTGGGGGTCTCAGTGGACGAAAATAATTTCGTAGTACAGTATAAACATAAAACGAAAGTGAAAGTAACAAGATCGGTCATTCGGAAAAGACCCATCGGAACACCTCGTATATTTTCCATCAAAACAATAATGAAAGTAAGCGCCTGTGCTACCATGATTGGTGGTACGTTGTAGACCAATATTGCACCACATTAGACGTAAAAACAAATCAATCGACCAGACAGTCAGAACCTTCTAGAAAATTTAGTCAGCATATTACACGAACATTTCATCAGTTCATGACGTGTGATTCCAAATACATTTCAGCAAGCTTGCAGTCTTTTAATGCTTATATATATATCCATGTCAGAGTTAAACGCAGTTGTTTACTTTTGTACTGAACAGCTGATGGTTCCACAAAGGTAGTAAGTTGAGGTGTTATCGGGACGGTTTTGTTTAAAGAAGCTTTTTCCTTGCGCACGTTATGAATCCAAACACACTTACTTGACATGGGCATCTTGCTACTGTGATATTAATTGGGAAATCATGTGTCGCATATGCCAAGGAATCGTCGAAAAATGCAGTCAATCCATGCATTGAGCCATTACATCCATGTATCACGAATCCATGGAACCCGGAAATAGTTACATGTAGGGAACAAATAACACTACATGGAAGCTGCTACAAAACAATAAACACACTTTAAATTTTCTTCAGAAACGAGACAATTTCGGCATTTAATACAATTATTGCTGCGTTATGGATTCCAACTTCACCTGTTTTTTTCACAATGAAAAATTGGCCTTCCAGCAGCTGTGTAGAGACATTCAACACGCAAAACTGATTCCACGACCCTACGTTTACCGATTGGGAATGGCAGTCTGTTCCTGCAGGAGAAAAAGTGAGTACAATAATTCAATGTAAATAAACCAATTTACTATATCTGTATAATACATATGTAGGTGTGCATGGTGAATGCTGGTGACCAGATACATCAATTTGTTAGAGTGTCTAGAGAGCAGAAGTCCCCAGTTGGAATCCCAGTCTGATATTGTTGTTTTCCCTCTCCTGTGACAGGCAGCAGTGCTTGCAATGTGAACAATACTTGTTTCAAGTAATGTGGATATGTTTGACTAGGGGGATACCCAAACTTGGGTTATAAATAGATTTGTCTCCAGTAGTAAAGGCTTGAAAAAAACAGAGAAGTTTTTGTAGAAGGACATGGTTAGATTGCTAGGGTATATGTGTCCACCTCTGAAACCACCATTGTCACAGAGATCTCCTGCATTCCACATTTCCAATGAGGGAGAAAGATCACGAAACACAACTGAAACTGCTTTCAGCTCAACTTGTCTTTCCCATTTTATGTATCAAAATAACTCTAAAAAATATTCATTTGATCCAGACACACCTGCTATGATCTGTAGTATCTAGGTGATCATTTTAGCACAGGATTTAGATTCTGGGTTTGCATGAGTTTGGACTTAAATGAGGGAGTTTTGAGGGAGATTGGTAAATTTTGGTAAAGATTTCCAAGGGAGTTCCCCTCATAATAAGGGTGGGTTGCCAGGTATGCTAGGGTGACAAAGTACCTATAACCCAGTTGGATATTAACCATTGATGACAGTGATGTCTAGATATGAAAGTCATAGGTATGAATCCCTGTCTGTCCACTTTGCATTTTACCTTTTGAATTACATACATGTAGAAAAACCTACAGAAACATAGTAACATCAGTTTTGATTACTCTGTATGCATTAATATATAAATATAAATTCTGTGATCTAGCATCATCCTGTTGTTTTTAGAGCTCACCTGGCCCGAAGGGCCATGTGAGCTTATGTCATACTGAGGCGTTTGTCGTCCGTCGTCAACTTTTTCTTTTAAATGACTTTTTCTGGAGAACTGGAGGACCCAGGGTCATGATATTTGGCCAGTAGCTACCTGGGATGGAGTGCTATACATTTTCCTCATCAAATGACCTTAACCTAGTTTCAAAGTCACGGGGGTCAAATATGTTAAAAACTTCAAAAAACAATATCCTAAGAACCATTTGGACTAGAGTCATGATAATTTGGTATGTTATGTAGACAGCATTGCAAATCATTTTCTTTATTACAGTAATGAGGTCAAAGGTTAACTGTAAGTGCTAGCCAGTGGGCAAATGTCAACATGGGTTAAAAGCTTTAACAATCTTCTTCTCAAGTTCCAAAAGGCCCACGGTCATGATATTTAGTCAGTCGGAACCTGGGATGAAGTGCTATAAATTTTCCTCATTAAAATGACCTTGATCTAGTTTCAAGGTCACAGGGGTCAAATATGTTAAAAACTTTAAACAATGATATCCTAAGAAGCATTTGGTATAAAGTCATGATATTTGGGTATGTTATGTAGACCAGCAGTGCAAATCTTTTTCTTAATAACAGTAATTGAGGTCAGATGTCAACTTTAAGTGCTAGCCAGAGTCAAAGATCAACATGTGTTAAAAGCTTGAAAATAACAATTTCAAATTTCAAACAACAATATTTTAAGCATTTAAGAGATGTTAAAATGTCTGGTGTTCTAGTTACCAAAAATGTCTGAAGTTTCATGTAACAAAAGAAACAGGTGAGTGATACAGGCCCTCTGGGCCTCTTGTTTATTTTAATTTGCAGCAATATGTTTAAGTTACACAGTTGTTTTGACAGTCTGTATACATTTTAAATAATTTTACAACAATTATGAAACATGTTATTTTAACTTATATTAATCACTCTTGTAAGCCCAGATATTTGCATGAGGGGGGTCTTAATGTGGGAGGAAACCAAAGTACCAGGAGAAAACCCACATGGTCTGGCAGGTGACCCCATACCTTTTCACGGCCAATCAGGGAATCGAAGCCTTACCGCCTTGTTGAAAGGCAAGTGTGCTATCCACTGTGCCAACCAACCTAATATACAATTTAGTCCTCAGTCACTTAATCTGGAGCCTGGAACTGCTGTCTCCTGACATCACAGTCAGAAGTCATCTTGACTTTTGTGATGACACAAATGACAAAGCTCATTGTAAGTTTGGTTTCTATTGTGCGACTTCCAATAATAAAGGGAAGATTTATTTTTTTCATCTATTTCTAAAAAATTTTTCAGAACCTGATCTACAAGGTCTTCTGAAGTCTTCAGATCTACGTACAATTGTTTCAGCAATCCAAGATAAAGTGAACTCCAAAACTGAACAAAAGTTTCTGAAGACCTTTCTGGATTCTGAGTTGATGAAAGGTGTTTCATTGAATAATTACAGTGTGTGTATGTTGCTGTATGTGATTTACCAGTCATGCCAGAACAACACTTATGAATTTCTCCAAGGTAGCAGTCGGGCAGTGGAAAGACCACCGAAGGCTAAAGGAGAAAAAGTAAGAAAACAGAACGTATACGAGATGGCTGTGAAAAAAAGGCTGAAAAAGTTAAACTCAAAGCAGGAAAGTACTGTCAAAATTTTCCCTGGGAATTTGGGGCAATTGAGAGAGACGGAGAGCTATAAGCAACTTGTCTATGAATACAAGAGGGATATTGTGATGAAATTCAACAAAGACGCCAACGATAGGGCATTTACCAATGGAACTACTGCTACACAGGTCATTATTCACTATACGGATTTGGGAAAGTTGGCTTCATTCAAATCTCGGCTGAACTCGGTGGCTGGAGAGATACAGGGGGAGATGGACCGGACCCGCATGGTATGTACTGTACATGTATTACTGAAAATAGGTAAAACCTTGCTATACCGCCAACAGTTGTTGACCAAAATGTTGGCATTGCAAGGATGTTTGGCAGTATAGCAGAAAATACATTAAGTTGACTTGGAACTCTGATCGTAGTATGGGGGTAGCAAATGAAATAAGGGGCATATTATATAGAAGTTAAAGTTAACTGTATGAATAAACATCATGTATTGTAGGGTGTTGTGAGTAAGGAGTTCACATTGCTGTGAAAATAATTTCAATACATATCACATAGCTTAAAAAGAGATACAAAAATCAAATTAGAATACAAGCTAGCTTGTCCTGTATTTCTTAATGTCATTGTATCTTATTTCTCTTACACAAGGTTAACCTGAATTGAGTTATTACAAATTCTGAGACAGTTTTTGTGAAAAAGATGCAGAGTATATATGTTTCAGTAGTCATGCTAATTAAAGACAAAAATGTACTTAAAGGGAGATTACTCTTGTAAAAATCACAGGACTTTGCATAAAGCTCAATGATTCAGTTGCAAGTATTACCTTTTGGTGGTAAATTTAGTCTTAAACATTAATGTCCATTGCCAGTAAAATGATAGAAGTGTTTTCCCTTTTTTTACTTTCTATATAGGTAAGACTGAACAATCGTAGAGCACGCGTGCTGAGGAGAGGTTACAACAGAGGTTCAGATGAGAGTGACCTTACTACAGCAGGTAGTATACAAGTTTTCTTCCTTAAACGGACTTATAATGAATCTGCCAGAAAAGAACATTTCTAAAAAAAGCATTCCTAATCAAAATTGGTACCTTACCTTAGATATCAATTATTTGACCTCAATATTATCTACAAACAACTCACAATTTATATTGGACTCTTGCTTGCTTGCTTGCTGACAGTATAGGGTATGGATTTTGCAGCTGACAATGTATAAATCGAAATTTCTATTTGAAGTTATGTTTTTTTTGTTCATGTTTATGTATATTAGAAGTATAAGCTATCAGCTTGCGACTTTTCTACATGTAGACATGTCTATGTATTTAGTTCACTGTGTTTCACTGTTTTGCCTTCAAACTACTTTGTAGTTACAAACGTGCAAAACAGATTTTAAATTTGAATTTATAACACCAACAGTTTTTTTCCTGTGAATTTTCGCATTTTCATTTTTTATGAAAGTATCTAGGCTAGCATTGAATGTTTTAAGGCAGGAATTGACCTTTCAAATTTTCCAAAGGGAGAAATTGAATGTCAAAATTTTAATGTGTCTTAAAAGGTCCTATATTTATACCAATTTGACACTGACAACATAATAAAGTCAAAATGCCATTGTCAAGCTGCAATAATTTCATCATATTTGAGCAAAAAGTTGAATGTAAGGGTTTCTTCTGATTTCAAAAAGTAATTGTAAAAAAATTGAAAATGTCCCTCCAGAAAAGGGAGACCACTGGTACCATTGACGAAGCTCCTGACAGAAAATGTTGACCTTTCCGACTCATGTGAATTTCTGAATACTCCCTATCCAACATCGTTACATGATTTATTTTAAATTGATATCACTAATCTCAGAGTATCACTGTTTTAGCTTGTGCCATAAAAGAAACACGTCAGAAAGATTTCCACCAGAAGTTGAAAAAGGGGTTCGTATATTACATTTTGTACCTTTGTTCATGAACAAAGGGTCTTCAGTCTTGTTTGGAGTAAATCATTTTAGATGATGCATAAGTTTCAAAATCTTTAAATTTAGTTGCAGGGACAGTGTATTAACTCATTCACCCCTTTAGACACATTTGAACTCTTCCAATTCAAATGCTGGAACAGTTCATTATGAAATTTCAGGGGTGAATGAGTTAAGGTTTAGCTGAAGCTAGATGAATTAAGTAGGAACACTATATTTTTATATTGAAAACGGAGCATACTACCTTTCGATTTAGTTGGAACACTAGGTCTTAAGATTTAGTATGGGCACAAGGAATCTGGATTTAGTTGGAGAAGAGAGTTTTAATTGAGTTGGAGCTCAAGGTCTTTTAATTTAGTTGGAGCAAAGAGTCTTAAGATTTGATTGGAGCTCAAGGTCTTTTAATTTAGATGCAGCTAAGAGTTTATGATTTAGTTGGAGCTCATGGTTTGGAGTTTAAATGAAAAACAAGGTATTTAGATTTTGGTTGGAGTTAACAGTCTAAGATTTAGTTTGAGCGAAAAGTCCTTGTTTAATTGGATCACAAAATCTTCTGATTTAGTTGAAGCGTGATATAGCTTTTGATTTAATTGGACCAAATACTATTTACCTGTAAGAAATATATGCCAGTTTACGATGAAGTGATTAAAATGATATTTAAATAAAAATTAAGGACTGGTTTTCACAAACATTATAAAAAAAATAAAAATAAAAAAAATCTAAGACTAGCTTGTTTTCAGTTTAGTGAACATTCTAAAGATTAATTAACAGAATAAGTTATAATGAAATGTTTTCTTTTTGTTTGGATTTAATAGAGGAAGGAGCCCACCAACACCATCCCCTTTGACCGGTGGTCATTGTTTCAACTGCCTGGGGACCTTCGAAGGCTTAAGAGATTCTGGCCCTTGTCAGCACCATCCTGGTTTCGTCAGTAAGTCATTCATCAAACCCGTCCAATTTATGGCTATGTTGAAAATTTAACAAGGTATGACAGCCTTTGACAGTAGTTTACAAGTTTTGACATTGATTGTGATTGACAGTATTTGACTGCCTGTGACATTGGCTGTACTTGTTTGAGAGCATTTGATAATGTATAGAGGTCTTTATCGCTACATGTATTTGGACATTTTTGCCATTAACTGATTCACCCCTGAACTTTCATAATGAACTATTCCAACCTTTGAATTGGAATAATTCAAAAGTGTCTTCAGGGGTAAATGAGTTAAGATTATATGCCAGTTTTTAGCTGACCTGGTCTGAAGGACCATGGTGAGCTAATTATGCCATACCGCAGTGTCCGTCGTCCGTCCGTCAACTTTTCATTTAAAAAGCTACTAGTCCTTAGCAGCCTAGTAGATTTTGACTAAATTTGGTCTGGAGCATCCTTAGGCCAAGGGGACTCAATTTTGTATAAACAAAGGGTGTGGCCCCCCTGGGGGCAGAGGGGCGGGGCCCAATAGGGGAAATAGAGGTAAAACCTTTAAAATCCTTCTCCTACTGTAGGGATTAAGGGATTTTATCCTAATTTAGTCTGGAGCATCATTGGGCCAAGGGGACTCAATTTTGTATAAATGATGTGTCTGACCCCCCTGGGGGCTGAGGGGCGGGGTCCAATGGGGAAACATAGCAAATTCTTTAAAATCCTACTTCTTCTGTAGGAATGAAAGGATTTGTTCCATATTTGGTCGGAAGCATCCTTGGGGAAAGGGAAACACATTTTGTATAAATGGTAGGTCTGGCCACCCTGAGGGCTAAGGGGTGGGGTCCAATAGGGGAAATATAGCAAATTATTTAAAATCCTTCTTCTTCTGTAGGAATGAAAAGATTTGTTCCATATTTGGTCGGAAGCATCCTTGGGGAAAGGGGAACACATTTTGTATAAATGGTGGGTCTGGCCACCCTGGGGGCTAAGGGATGGGGCCCAATAGGGGAAACATAGTAAATTCTTTAAAATTCTTCTTATTCTGTAGGAGTGAAAGGATTTGTTCCATATTTGGTCTGAAGCATTCTTGGGTGAAGGAGAACCAATTTTGTATAAACGGTGGGTCTGGCCACCCTGGGGGTTGAGGGGCGGGGCCCAATAGGGAAACATAGCAAATTATTCTTAAAAATCCTTCTTCTTCTGTAGGAATGAAAGGATTTGTTCCATATTTGGTCTGAAGCATTCTTGGGTGAAGGGGAACCAATTTTATATAAACTGTGGGTCTGGCCCCCCAGGGGCCTGAGGGGCGGGACCCAATGGGGAAACATAGCAAATTATTCTTTAAAATCCTTCTTCTGTAGGAATGAAAGGATTTGGTCCATATTTGGTGTGGAGCATCCTTGGGTAAAGGGGAACCAATTTTGAAAAACGGTGGATGTGGCCCCCCTAGGACCTGAGGGGTGGGGCTCAATAGCGGAAATAGAATTAAAACCTTTAAAGCCCTTCTTCGACCATCGGGATTAAGGGATTTTATCCTTATTTAGTCTGGAGAATCCTTGGGCCAAGGGGTCTCAATTTTGTATAAATGGTGGGTATGGCCCCCCTTAGGGGCATAGGGGTGGGGCTCTGTTTGAAGTTTGTTCTCGCTATATCTCAAGTACTGGATGGATCTTACTGAAATTTCATATGTACTTACAGCACCTACCATGGAGTGCTATATCTTTACTTCATACCAATTATTCTAAACATATTCAGGTGAGCGATACTTGGCCTCTTGTTGAAATATCTCACACTTGATTGTGTGACAGCTGCCTCTGATAATGTTTCACAGTAGTTAACATTTGACTATATATGGCAGTCTAGACAGTCAAGAAGCTGTGCAGTTGAAATTAAGTGAACAGTAGTTATTTAAAGTCCCTGTGGTTGAAAATACCAAAGTTGTATTGTAAAATATAAAGTATTTTGTTTTGCAGAAGATGAAGTCTGGACATGCTGTGGAGAAAAAGTTGATAAGACAAAACCAATCCATGAGGACCATCAGGAAACAGGGTTTGTGTTTCTTGTTGCCAAATTGATCACTAAAGATAAAACCATCAAAGAATGCAGGGCTTTCAGTAGACCTCGAGAGTATTTTTTTTACTTCTAAAATAAGCTTTATTTAATCGACATGTTTTTACTCATGATCAAATGTCAAGGAAATAGTTGATTTGACTCCTGAAATTGCTTTAAATGTCAAAGGTCATCAACTGAAAACCCTGATGAATAACACCCTTCTACATGTACAAGGGAGATAATTTAATTGGTAACTGAACATATAGAGAAAGTTATAGAATAAACTTTCAGCACCTTCATTTCTGAAGTTTAGAATTAATGAAAATGCAAAATATCCAGTTTCGGATTTTTACTAATTAAGTGGTAAATATTATAAGATAATATCTTAATTTAAATACAATTGTATTATTCTTCAGATGTATTGTAAGCATACACAACTGGAGACAAAGGAAAAACAGCGGTCGGAGATCAGAGCACAGTACCGAAGATTACAAATTATCGCGTGCATGTGTAAAGCCTAACTTCCGCCACCGCACCCCAGGGCATCACGTCACAAATATGTGGGATGAAGCAACTTCCTAAAGGATGCAACAGCTTATAAAGCTAATTTGCTGTAAACTTCTTGTTGGAGGTGAAATGTGAACTGCTTTAACCCTGGTATACAGCTGGAAGCTGAATTCACTATGTATAATGTAATTAACTTCAAAATGTTAGAGTTTGGTTTATAAAAATATATAATTCTTCAATATTTATGGGAAATCATGTTTGTAATGAAACAAACTCGTAAAGTGTCCATGAATATTCTGTTTGTTAGTTAAGAGACTGGTCGAGTCTGAGTGAATGGATTATTATACATACAATGTAGACCGAGTGAATGGATTAATATATAGATGTTATGTGGAAGCTTTGTTATTACTATTGAATAAATATGTTTACTGTTAAAATCCGGTAGGGATTTTTGTTGTTCAATGTCATTCCATACTTTTATCATTTATCACAGAACTCCATTGTTTATACTGATCAGTAAAAGATCATGTTAATTAAAACATTTTACCCTTGTATAAATACACGGCTATTGCAGTCCATAATTTCCATGTAGAGTGATTCAGGATGTTCATATAAAAAAAATCATGTAACCCCGAAAATTCTTTGTCATCCAGAATATTTACGAAATATCCGTTACTTCGGAGGAAATGTTGCACAGCGATGACCAGTTCATAAATAGTATTGGGTCTGCATTCTCTCCCAGATTGGTTTCGGACTTCGGTGACAAAATAACTGAGGGCATCATTTAGTTCCTTTGTAGTGTACTCTAAAATATTGTGTCCAAATGTTCTTATGTTTTCTGTCCTTTTTGCGACATTTTCTCGCTCCTTTTGTCAATTTTCATATGTAAGCATAGCCCTTTTTGTTTTATTTTCTGTGTTAGCACATAACCCATTCTTCTGAATATTTAGTAACTCCCCTTCCTTCTGAGGTTCTGCAAATCACTTTGTCTCCATTTCGTTTTCAGCTTTCTCTATCTCTTGTGTAATATGTTCCATTTCATCCTCAGATATATCAGAAAACATTTTCAATGAGAAGTTTGGTGCCATATATTCAGAATATCACTCAATAATCCATCAGTGTCTATATTTTCCCCAGAGGTGGATCCTCTAAACTGAGATTGTGATAAATATTGCAGCATCACTGTTTGAAGACATTTTGGAAAGTGAACCCCATGTATGATATATAGTGACCAAAGCATGCATGATCTTCACCTCACCTGTCCAATAAGTAATTAATAGAAAGGATGTGCCTGACTACACTCACCTGGCTACCTGTATTATAAGTGAGGGACCCAAGGTGGAGGTGCTATGGTTTTAAGTTAGATATTAACCTCAAACTGTCCAATAAGTGTGACAAGAAATCCGGGCCGAGATTTGTTGTCACACTTATTGGACAGTTTGAGGTTAATATCCATAACATATCGTCCGCTCTTCCCCTTCTAAAGAATATTAGTTTATACATATACTATATTAGTTTATACAGGACCCCTGTGGATCGAGGTCATTCATTTGAACAAACTTGGTTCCTTCATTCCAGCATGATACAGGCCCAATATCAGTACCCTGGGCCTTTTAGTTATTCAGAAGAAGTTGTTTGAAGATTTTAAGCCATTTGACCCGTGACTTTAAAAGTGGGTCAAGGTCATTCATTTGAACAAACTAGGTAGCCCTTCATCCCAGCATACTACAGGCCCAATATCAGTACCCAGTGCCTTTTGGTTATTCAGAAGAAGTCTTTTGAAGATTTTACATTTGACCCCTGTGACCTTGAAAGTGGCTCAAGGTCATCCATTTGAACAAACTTGGTAGCTCTTCATCCCAGCATGCTACAGGCCCAATTTCAGTACCCTGGGCCTTTTGTTTTTTGAGAAGTCGTTTGAAGATCTTAACATATATGACCCCTGTGACCTTAAAAGTGAGTCAAGGTCATTCATTTGAACCAACTGGTTAGCCCTTCATCCCGGCATACTACTGGCCAAATATCATCAGCCTGGACCTCTTGGTTATTCAGAAGAAGTTGTTTAAAGTAAAATATTGACGCTGGACGGCTGGACGCATAAAAACTTCAAACAGTATCCTAATAACCATTTGGACTAGAGCCATGATACTTGAGTATGTTATGTAGACCAGCAGTGCAAATCCTTTCTTAATTACAGTAATGAGGTCGAAGGTCAACTTTAAGTGCTAGCGGTGTCAAAGGTCAACGTGGGTTAAAAGCTTTGAAATTAAAATTTCAAATTTCAAACAACATCTTAAGAGGCGTTTAAGAGATGTTAAAACGTCTTGTGTTCTAGTTACCAAATTTGGTCCGAAGTTACCTATGTGTCAGTTCATGTAACAAAAGAAACAAGCGAGTGATACAGGCCATCTAGGCCTCTTGTTTAACCAGTCACTTTGAAGAAAGGTCAAGGCAGCTCCTTTACAAAAACTGTGGCTATATTTTACTTATGTAGGAACAAGCTGTTGTAAAATTTAGGTAAAAAAGCTTTTGGTTCTCCAGTAAAAGCTTTTTATGTGCTTTAACAGATTTGATCCAGGTGTGGCCTTAAATATGTGTCAAGGTAATTCATTTTCCCAAACGTTGTAGCACTCCATGCCAACAAGCTACTTTTGGTTCTTCAAGAGAAGAAGAAAATCTATGTGACCTTAAATATAAGCAGGTCAAGGCCCCCCCTCAAACAAGTGTAGTACTCGCTGCCAGCAATCAGGACACATATCAGGACTTTAGGATTTCTGGTGTCTTTGCATTCTTGAATAAAGGTCAAGGTAATGTCAATTCACAAACTTTGTAGTATTTAAATGATAACATTCTACTGGTTATTTATCATGCCTCTAGGCCTTTTGGTTCTTCAGAAAAGCTCTGAGTGTTTAGGCAGATTTCCCTGTGACCTTAAATGTATAAGTCATGATTAGTTCTTACTTAGTAGCACTCAAACACAACAAACTACTGGCCATATCAAGGACTCTTAAATAACTTCTTGAGGAACGTTTTTTTAAGATCCTCATATTGGCCCATTTTTAGCTACTTAAGGGCCACCAGAAGGGGACATGCTCCCTTGTAAATCTGAAACTAGTAATGCATTTTTGAAAACAGGATGAAAGAAAAAGGCTGAGTTACCCCCAAATGTAACTTTAAAGTTGAAATTAAAATCCAAACAGTGAAAATATAATCAACTTGTTTATTAACAATCCCATTACTCCTCCATGATAGATCTTTAAAACTTTCGCTTCTTCTTCTTGAATCCACCTGAAACAGCAAAAAAATGGCATTAAAATGTGATATCAATACCAGGCTTTAAATAATATTGTAATTGTTAACATCTAGAATACACATAATCTGGCCCTGATCAGATATGGACTTTCCAATATGCAGTGTTTAAAGTGTAACCTTATAGTTAACTTTATTGTAAATAAGAAAATGATGGCTTATTAACTTAAAATCAGGTGGTATTTTTCTCTTTCATTCCATTAGGTAGTCCGAATTATTCTGACGTTTTATTAACTTTTTTCATATCGGTGTGTCATCGATTAACGTCAGAACTCCGGCCCTCTATAATATGCGGGAAATAAGCGACCCGCGCCCGGAGCGCACTTCAAACTGATATTTTAGAAAACAAATTGTCACTTTCACACACATGTCGCACATGGATCGAAAGATCTATTCTTTATGCACTAGTTGGTATCAATACCATGTTTCAAAGATCATTACGAAAAGTATTTTCCAACGTTTTCTATACCGACCCATGTTTTTAATGGAAATTAGGCCATGAGCAATGTCACATGACTTGACGAGATCTCGCGTTACCTAAGGTATTTCCCAACGTTATGACGTAGACCAGCGAGATTTTAGTCACGTGGCATTAGAAGGCGGGGCTATCAAAAAACTAGAGTAAAACAGAGTAAGTTTGAAAAAATATGTTTTTAGTGATTGTATTGGTTGTTTGAGGCATGTTATGTATTTTCATCTTGTGCATAAAGAATAGATCTTTCGATCCATGTGCGACATGTGTGTGAAAGTGACGATATTTTCCGCATTTTATAGAGGGCCGGAGTTCTGACGTTAATCGACGACAGACAGATATGAAAAAAAGTCGATAAAACTAAAGTTTAGTCAGCAGGAGAGTCACAAAGGGCTGACCCCCCTCCCCCCTGGAAAAAGTCCCTAACAACATTTATTATTGACACATTACAATTTTTTCTTACCTTACTGATATTCAGCCGTTTGTCAAAGTTGTCCAATAGTTAATAATGCATATACAGATTGAACGTTTTATCTCAAATTTCCAGGGACTTTGAGGTAGATCTTTTAAAATTATACTCGTGAATTAACATGAAGTTACATATCTCAAGAAACAGAAATACTTGACAGTAAGTCACAGTTGTTTGATGATCCTTAAACCAGGATTTCTGAACCCACGCTGGTCTAGTAAATGTAATGATTATCTATTTGTATAAGTACCTTTCTTTCCTTTTTTGCCTTTGCCCTGTAAAAAGACAATGTTAAATTCATTGGAAAAAGAACCTAAATGAATATGAATATATTCAATTTGTGATAATGTATTGAAGGCTATTTCAGTAAAAGATTTATTCCAACCCAGCAAATTCAGACATTGTTTTACGGGTACTATTCATAAAATTGGATTAACAAGTTTCTTAGAAAATAACAGGCAGGAAACCCAACCAGTACTTTATTTTGGGGTCCTTTTGCGCTTTTGGATAGGGTAGATTTTCCCCCCTGAATTCGCCCTCAATATCCTTTTTTTTATTTAGTATCTAGAATTTACAAAATGAAGGCAGACAAGTGTAAAATATAAATCTTTCCATCAGGGAGATTTCAAAAGCAACCATAATGTAATTGTTATCAGTTATTTGTCAATAATTTACAAAATAATATAGAATTTGAAACTACAGACTTGTTTGTGTTATAAGTATTACTTGTACCTTGCCACCTGTTTTCTGTTTCTTTCGTGATGGTCCATCCTAAGAAAAAGAAAATTGAGATTATTAATCATTACAGGAGGATTATTTCCGTTTCTGTAAAACTTTTGCGTTTTTACAATGAACAGAAAATAGCAAGCACTCTCCTAATTAAGTGTTTAATGGGGAAAATCCCACCTATTGATGCACTTACTCATTCAGTTCCATTATCATGTACACACAACAAAACAGGTAAGAGCGGTCTATGTTGTCGTGTACAGATGACAAAATAATGGTCCGTCTCCACCCCGTTGTCATGTACACACGACAAGACACTTCAGTTATACCTGTCTTCTGATAAGCTGGTGAAATCCAATTAATAATCGCTAAAATTCAGATATATCATTTTAAAGGAAAGACTCTGATAGGTGCAGAGAACAATGTTTTTGTCATTTGACTTATGTTTTTCCCCTAATTTCCCAGAGATGTTGTATTTGGTGGTCATCTAATGCGCAGAGTGCATTTAATACGAACATTGACATTGCATAAGATAAACACTAATAATCACTGTAATGATAAACTGCCCCTCGTTACAGAGAGCTAGAAAGGCAAATAATATACCCTGACTAAACTTTCCTTGAATAAGTAACAAAGCTGGTATGGCTACTCCATACAAGTATGAACCAAGTTCTTACATATACATAGAATATCTGTTAGATGCAATAATAACATGAACAATTACCTGGTGTGTGTCCCCTCCGTCTCCCATTAAGGCACTGATGTCATCAAACTGTGTAAGACTGTTTAGGGAGGATGTGGTTCCGAGTCTTCGTGCTGCATTCTATTGTATAAAACAGAAAATGCTGAAGTTATAAAATTTCGATCGCTTCAATATGTAACACCTGTTTTCATTGGTCAATATGCTGTGTATATTATCATGTAGTTGTATACAGTAAATGAACATATCTTGGCTGTAATTTGCTTGAAGTTTTTAGATGTTTCAAATATCATGCTTACATATCATTGCAAAATTATTAACAGTTTCTGTATATTGTTTTCCATTTTCGATCATGGGTGTACCAACCAAGTCGTGAAATAGCTTCTAAATCAAATTTTTCAAATGCTATTGGCCTATTCGTTTATGTCGAACAACCGGTTTGTCTTATATGCGGGACCACCGGTTTGTCTTATGAAGGGTTTCTTGTTACACAACCAATAAGTGTTTCTCTGTGACGTTTCTATGACTAGTACTGTATGTACTGTTGTCACCTTCATCAGACAAATGATCAGTGAAGCATGTGCACACAAAGGTTTAAAATGTGTACGAGTATACGCCCCAGTGGGCCAGTTCTAAATTGAAATAAGGGGACTCATAGACTCTCGCACATCTATGACCAAGTATTAAACAAAGCCTGGCTGAATCAAGTCGTTTCGGTACATATATAACAACTATTGTACATAGGCTTACAGCGTATACAAATCGACATCGATTTGTGGACAATTCGTGTGCATACGCTTCACTGGTCATTTGTCTGATGAAGGCGACCGAGTACATACCGTACTAGTCATCGAAACGTCACATAGAATTACTTATTGTTTGTGTAGCAAGAAACATTTTATAATCCATACTTACCAACCTGAAGAAAATGTTTAGAAATAACCGGTTTGTCTGTTTTAAATATAACATTTTGGAGTATAAATCCTTGTGGACCTGCAAATGTTTATGTATGCCTTGCAAGGCTTTGTCAAGGCTCGTCTGAAAGCAGCATCAGGTTACTAGGTTCAGCCTTATTTCATAAATAAACAACTCTGGTCAAACCAGTCCAGTTGTTTGGATCGTGATAAACAAAAGCGGCCTATGTTTTAAAATGAACAATGTATAGGTGTAATACTTTTTCTCAACAACACACTTTAGACTTAATTCCTTAATCATGGTAAAACCTTAATATTGCTGGTGAAATGAAAACTTTTAAAGCGTCAGATGTTAAAGGGAGGTAACTTTTGTTGCAGAGATAGTCTAACTGCCTGTTCGTTTATGCGGAACAACTGGTTTGACCGTTTATAAATGTAACAATTTCGGGTATAAATCCTAGCGGACCTGCTAATGTTTATGCAGGCCTTGCAAGGCTTTGTCAAGGCTCGCCTGAAAGCAGTGTTAGATTACTAGGTCTGACCTTATTTAATAAACGAACAACTGTGGTCCGACCGGTTTGACCATTTTAAACAAAAACGGCCTAACTCATAAATGTGCAGGCTAAGACAGTAGGATTATCATCAAATACGCACCCTCTCCTTTTTAGACACAGATACACGAGTGAAATACTGTTCTTCATATCTGAAAAAGAACAAAACATCGGTATCATAATAGCTGCTAACTGAGTATATTTGATCATGACCAATGTAACATGAACTTGATAAAATATGTACCATGGTTAGTATATATGCAAAAGTACTGAAAGGAATGATGTACTATATCACCACAGCTAGGATTCTAGCGCAAATCAACTTTTAAATCAGATGTTAATTCATTGGTAGCACGGCACTTTAAATGTGTTTTGTAGATATCTGATAAATTAATTATGTAATTGATCATCAACCGTTTGGCTACTTCAGATGACAAACCGATCATCGATTTTGATTTTAAACCGATTGCCCATCACTATGGCTAACCATGCAATTAATCCTGATGCCAGAAGTCATTTAGTGCCTATATATTGGTTACTATATGTTACTAAACACAATGTGTTCCTACTTTTACTCCGTAGTGTATACATACTCTTTTATTTCCTTGGCCCTTTTATCCACTTTCATTCTGTGGAGATCTCGAGTTTCCTGTGAAAGAAATAATAGGAGATACAGGAAAGTCTCTCTAGTATAAAGAAGCAATAACTTCTGTATAACGACAAATTTTTGCCAAGTAAAACTTTCACCATCCACCCAAGAAATCACTTTCGCCCAGTGTTAATTTCGCCCATCACATTTCATTACTATGTATATGATGTTGTTTACTTCCATTCAATTTAATGATTAATTGGCCTGCATCATCGAGGGTGAAAGGGGCAAAATGGGGGGAAAATTAAACTGCAGCTAAAATTTCCTTGTATACAGTACAAATAATACAATAAATAACATGACTAACAATATTACATGGAATTATCATAAAAATAAGTTTTCAGAAACAATCTTAAACTTAAAACAATATTTTGATTAACAAGAGGCCCATGGGCCTTAACGGTCACCTGAGTCTACAGTATTTTTTTTTTTTGTTGAAATATGTACCAATTTGAGTAAAAAATAGTATAATGTTAACTTAACTTTGTCAGGACCATGAGCTGATCATTCCTAGACCAATTTTAAGTGAGATCGGCCTATTAGAATTTAGTAGCAAAATAGCGGCCATGGCAGCCAAATTGTATTTCTGATTGACCCGAAAAATAACAACACTTTGTCAGGACCATGAGGCGATCATTCCTACCAACTTTCAGTTCAATCGGCCCAGCAGAACTTGACTTTAAGTTTGAAATGTAAAATGTTAACGGACGACGACGGACGAAAACGGATAGCAATAGGTCACTTGAGCTAAAGCTCAGGTGACCTAAAAATTATGAAATAATTTTCCTCTGATTATGGTGTACCTAGGACTTGTACAGTATACCCTTGGGGAGTACAATGTTTCTATGGTTACCAACAATACAATGTTACCTGTGTTTCCTCTGATAATCTTACCTGTATTTCCTCTGACAATCTTACATGTATTTCCTCTGATAATCTAACCTGTATTTCCTCTCATAATCTTATCTGTAATTCCTCTGATAATCTTACCTCTATTTCCTCTGATAATCTTACCTGTATTTCCTCTGATAATCTTACCTGTATTTCCTCTGATAATCTTACCTGTATTTCCTCTGACAATCTTACCTGTATTTCCTCTGATAATCTTACCTGTATGTCCTCTGACAATCTTACCTGTATTTCCCCTCATAATCTTACCTGTATTTCCTCTTATATAATCTTACCTGTATTTCCTCTGATAATCTTACCTGTATTTCCTCTGATAATCTTACCTGTATTTCCTCGTGACAATCTTACTTGTGTTCCTCTGACAATCTTACCTGTATTTCGTCTGATAGTCTTATCTGTATTTCCTTTGGTAATATTACCTGAATTTCCTCTGATAATCTTACCTGTATTTCCACTTATATATAATCTTACCTGCATTTCCTCATATAATCTTACCTGTATTTCGTCTGATAATCTTATCTGTATTTCCTCTGGTAATCTTACCTGTATTTCCTCTGATTATCTTAGCTGTGTTCACTCTGACAATCTTACCTGTATTTCCTCTGGTGCGTCGGTCAGTTGATGCGCCAGCTCTCTGACTACACTACTACTTGCGGCACGCCTCTGAGCCTTCTCTTGTTGGCGCTGCTTCTTGTCCTCCATTGTCTCATCGCCATCTACAGGTACAAAAGGAACCAGTTGAGGAGGGACATTTGTGGAGAAGGATACAAAATTAGGTATGGCAAATCAGAGGATCATACAGGTTCAGGTAGTACATGGAAATAGGAAGAAGTGTCCAAAGGAGTAGGGGTGCTAAGCGCAATATCTGGCCTCATCGGGGAACTAAAATTAGTTGTTATATTAATAATATAAGATAAATGAAGTATGCAAATGTGAAATTTCAAATTCATCCGACAACAGGTATAGGAGATATGGCATAACGAAAGTTGGCTGTTTTGAAGCAATTTATCTGAAATCTGTTTACGTTTGAAAGCTTCCGCATGCACCAACAAATAAATAGTTCGCATGCTTAAACATTATCATTTCTGCATTCTTAATGTCTAAATAAATCATATTTTGGCTATTTCTGCATAGCAACACAATTGTATTGCTATGGTGTGGCATCTACACATGCACAATGTATAAACTCTTCACCAAGAAAGACAGCCCCAATTAACTTATACAATGTTTATAAAAGAAATTGTTAAATCAATTCAAAATGATTTTTTATTTTTTTATGAGGCCCAAAATGTCCTATAGCAACCCAAGTCCTTTATCAATTTTAATGGAAATGTGAGAAGGGTATGGTACAGCAATTAAACCAGTACCCATTCTGGGTGTTATGGAAATGTTTTGAGACAAAAGGAGACCTATTCCCGAATATATGTAAAAACGTACCGTAATGAACAGCGGCAAGCTTCGGAGGTACATAAACACGAGGTTTCCTTTCCTTTTCTTCATCAGAGTTAGACTCCTCATCTGATGCTTCACCTTCCAACTGATACATATTATTGGAAAAGGAAGTGAATTAAACATTCATACATACCAGATATACCATTACAATAGATACCGTGAAAACTGTCTTATCAGACACTGTCAGATATGTCACCACAATGTACTGAGCCAGTAATGTCAATAATGCTTTTTATATATACGAAAGTGTCAGAGAATTAGAAAAAATGAATCCTAACCATCCCCCTTCCCCTGCCTTTGGGCAAGATGGGGAATTCCAAACTGCAAGGAAAAAACATCTTATTAAATGTAGAAGGTGCCTAACGCTTTGCAAGCCTCATGTTTAGCAACTTAATGAATCATCTTCCTCAGGTTGAGATCCCCAATCTCACAACCAAAGGGTGAAGATTTCTGTTGGTCTTGTATCATTTTCTCAAAAGATGTTTCATTCATATCAACAAACTTATACAACTTCAACATTTCCTGTCCAATTCATTGCTAGACACGGCTCATTTTCACTTATCAAAATATGAAGAGATTATAAATTTAAATTTTGTATTAAGATTGATTCTGTGGTTCCAACTCAGCATACTTGACAGGAGATTACGTGTGCTCAGTATAAAAAGCATAAATAAAATGTGTATAAAATGTGTGTATGTACACCCTAGGAAAATATAACACTTTTAAAAGGCAACTTTTGAGCTGTTCTTTCAGGTGAAATCACCAGATCTTAGAAAATAGGAACAGTTCCGTAAATTCTCTTGTTGAAAATGCTCAATTTTAGAGTCCAAAATCGGGAGTCACGCTCCTAAATAGGAGGGTTTGCAAGTTGATAAGATCATTGTTATTACCTTGTTAATCATGTTGTCTGGATTGGCTTTAAATCTTAGTGGGTCATTGGAACCTGTCAACAAAATGCCTATTTATTACATGTTTACAAGTGACAACTTCAAAATTATCAGTGCGACATCTGCAGGGAAGATATACGAAATATCATATCTTCACAATGTGTTGATATAAGGTCCAGTATCGTTTTGATATTGACCAATCAAAATAGAATATTCTATTTACTGCCGCAGATTTTCTGTTCTGCTGCAGATGAAGTGTCACAGGTTTGACTGTATCTTTAACACTATTTCAGTAAAACTGACTAGATATATATTTAGTAGGATTTTAAAAGCTTTATAATGTCTTTGGAATAACGAGATTTTAATGTCAATTTCATAGACACAGCATTTAGTAATAACAGGTATTGTCTGACCATACCATCTGTTATTGAAGACGAAGTACTAGTGGAGGGTTGTCAAAAATCAACTTACCACTATCCCCAGTAACGGCTGTTCTGATGAGCTTATCAATTTGGTATTTTAGTTTCTGGTCAATCGGACGCAGCTTCTCTAGAACCTGTATTCATAGAATATTCTTACTATTGTAGATAAGAAGAAACATTCCACATTGCAATAGACATAGAATTCAAAACATGAAGTAAAATAACGATTTCCTGTTCTCAGTTTTAAATTTAAAAGTACATCTTGGGAGAACATTAATACATGTACCTTAAAGTAACTTATATAAGATATAATGTAAGACCCCCTATTTAATCAATGGTATTCTATATTATGCATTAACTGAATTTGCGCAAAAAGCGTCATGCATGGAATCTATTGATTTTAGGAGTAACTTTAAGTGGATACATGTAGTACTCCTTAAGATGTATCTCAATATTTAGTTTGATGGCTATATATATATATATATTGAATTATATAGGTACTATATTAGAGTTACGGAGCTAAACAGAAGGTCTATCAAATAAGTCATATAGACGGACAGATGGAAAAGACATTCAAACACTAGCTTTGCCAGGCATATGCATACTGCCAGTCAAATAAAATTGACATTGAAAAAAGAAAAAAAGGCAAGTATATGATTAGTATGAATTTACATCAGGCTATAGCCAGTCACCCTTCCACCTGTCTTTTTGACAGGCAGCTTTCTGAAAGGGACAGGCAACTTTCCACTATATAACCTTACTATTGTATATCAATTTTGACGAATAGTTCTGTAAAATTAGTTATAATACCAACGTTTTGGACAGGGACATTTGAAATCCTGGCTAAAATGTATAGCGGTTAACAAAAAACAGTTTTCTTAAACACATATACAAAAACATAAACGTTCAGATCTGTCATTATACTGAAAAATATTTAAAACTAGAAAAACATCTGTAAGACATGAATGCTCCCTGTGGTTGACATTTAACTCATTCACCCCAGAAGACACATTTGAACTCTTCCAATTCAAAGGTTGGAATACTTTATTATGAAATTTCAGGGGTGAACGAGTTAAATACTAACCTTGGTGTTGACCTTGGGACCTTGATATCAGAAGTACACTATTGTCATACTTGACCATAAATTAATATATGAACCATTTACTGAAAAATAGTGTAAATATAAGGACAAGTCTCCAATTTTGTGAGGTTATGATTTATCATATGTGACTTCATCATCTAATCAATGTTCACATGCTCAACTAGAGCTTTCACGTAACAGCTAATCTGAACAAAATGCCAACATGTTTTATGAGTTTAATATGATATATAATTATATATATATTTAGTCTTCATATTGACCAATCCTTGTGACGCTAAACTAACCGTGCGTATCTCGGTGAGTCTGAATATGGCCAGGTCTGCCTGTATCGACTGACCCCGAGTCTTTTGTAAGAGAACGTAGGTAAGGTTGATAAGGTAGCTCAGCAACATCTGGTACTTCATCTCCAGGAAACTCAGCCCCTGTAGTAACCATAGTAACGGTCATGGTTAAAGATTCTTCATCATGGGTGCCACTGATGTCCAGCAATATTATAATACCTTAACAAGAGGCCCAAGGGCCTTGAAACGCTCACCTGACTATTTTGGAAATAAAGTTAAAATCTACCCAGTGGTTCTGGAAGGGATCCACCATAAGAGCAGTCTTCTTCATTTTTTATAATGTTTGATCCCCATCTCTTAAGGATGCTAAGTTTGTACCACATCAATTTGGTTAAAACCTTCTTAGCAGTTTGTGAAGAGATATCATTTTAATTAAATGTCAATTCAATGTTAACCCCTTTTGACACCAACCCTTAGCCCCCTAGAAGATCACCCTCTTTTCTTGTATAACTTTTATTCTAAGAGGCCAAGGAAGCTACCACCATAATCTAGTTGAAATGTTCTTAGTGGTTCACAAATGAATGTCATCTAAAATTAAATCAGCAAATTTAACCTCATTCACCCAGCACCCCGGTTCCAAGGAGAGTCAGTCCCTTTTATTTTTCCATGTAACTTTCAATACCCATGGACTTAACATGCTCCCACTACAGTTTGTTTGAAATCTGCAGAGCAGTTTGGGAGGAGATGCCATTTGAAGCAAATTAGCGACTTTGGCCTCTTTCACACATTTCTAGAGTGTCAGCCCCTTCATTTGTAATTGTTTCCCTTGCAGGGCGAATCATGTAATCACTATCAGTATCACTTGATTGAAATTTGCCTATCGCTTTGATTTTAGAATTCATTTATAACTAAATCAGCTGTTCACTTTTAACTCAGACCCTCATGATCAGTTCCCTGGAGGGTCAGCCCTTTATTTGTATAATATTTGATACCTATGGTCTAAGGATGATAGCATTAAAATTTGCTTAAATTCTGCTTAGCAATTTGGCAGGAGATGTCTTTTTAAAGGTGACGACAAAAGACAATAGATGGAAAAAAATCCTACACATATCATTAGCTGTAACTGTACAGATTAAACCTATGTTAAGCATATTTTTATTTATTTTTGATTCATAGAGATATTCGGTATTAACAACTTACCTGGTATTATAATATTGATATGTAACAGTTCTAAAAATTTGCTCAGAAGGCAATTCCTAAGTTTTATGTTTCGAACTATAAATATCATAATTTAATTATCATTAAATGTACAAAGAAATCATATATAATTGCTAGAAAATAATAATCCCTGTCACACTTTCCACATGAAGAATCTTTTCACTTTGAAAACAACATAATATGAATATGTAAACATATTCATGTCCATTATTACAGGTCCAACAGAGAACAAACCTTAGAAGTGGATATTTCCCCCTTCTCAGCTTTATCTAGCAATGACTGGATATGTTGACAGGCATCTGAGGTCCCCTTCTCTATGTCTGTAAGTAACTCAGTAGCCCGCTCTATGTCGTCCATGTTGAAAATCTAGGCCCGAGTGTCTAAACTGGGGTGATGTACTGAAAGAATTCAATGACATTTTTTGATTTGCACGTATTAAGATAACATGAACAGATTGGAAATATCTTCTTGATAATTATCTTACAAGGATGCACACCGGAACTCCAAGTCATTTGATCATGCCAACAGTTACATGAACTGGGTCAATCCCACTATTTAAGTAAAATTTGATCCCCCTAGGCTGTGGATGCAAACACCCAAATTTAGCTGAAATCTGCTCTGCAGTTCAGGAGATGTCATTTAAACCAAATAGGCCAAGTTAACCCCTTTTGACGCTTCCCTTCATCTCCAGGAGAGGTCACTCTCTTAAAGTGTTGTTAGATGTAACCACTAAAAGGTTGAAATCTGTCCTCCATGTGAAAAGTAAACAGCACGTGCAAATTAACCTACCGTATGTATCCAATGGAGATAATGAACTTAGCAGACCCTGGGGTCAATTCTAACATCATGACTGCATTCGTCTCTTTATGCCCAGCATTTGTATCTATAGTTTTGGCTTGGGGATCATAACCATTTAAAAGTTATGACCCAGGGGTTAAGTCTGCAAGGGTGGGGCAGACCCTGGAGTCAATTCTAATATCATGACTGCAATCGTCTCTTTATGCCCAGCATTTGTATATATAATTTTGGGGTTGGGATCTAAACTGTTTCAAAGACATAACCCAGAAACCAAGTCCCTAGAGGTGGGGAAAGACCCCAGAGCCTATTTTTACATCATGCTTGTGTTTATCTCTTGATGCCCAGCGATACTATATATGGTTATGGGGTGGGGATCTCAACTGTTTCAAAGATACAACAATCCATAACATATATACAATACTGACCCCACCCTACCACTTGACCCCAGGGCCATCAATTTCATAATTTCAAAAGAGAGCTAGTTGATGATTATAATTAAATGGGATATTACTCTTTATTACTTGTAGGAGTAGAGAAGAAGATTTTCAAAGACGACTTCATTTTTTACCTATTTGGCCCTGCCCCTCAGGCCCCTGGGGGCGTAGCCCCATACATTTCATTAATTCAGATTCCCATGTCCTAGTGATGTTTCATGTCAAGTTTTGTCAAAATTGTCCCAGTAGTTTTGAAGAAGAAATTAAAATGTAATAAGTTGACGGACGACAGATGACGGACGGACGTTGCGGTATGCCATAAGCTCACTTGGCCCTTCAGTCCAGTTCCGCTACAGACATATTGCACACCTGAAGTTAACATAATTTATAACTTTAACGATGTTTCGATAGAGGATGTGAACCTGCATCCATTATGTATCGTATTAAAAGGCATGAAATACCATTTGCAAGTGCGTGGACCGAGAGGTTATACCTTAGCTGCGATAACATAGCTTTTTGACAAGATTTTTTTTATATATTGCGTCGTCATACTACGCGACCCGGGCAGAGGAGGCCAGGTTTTAATATAAGTACTAGTTATACCCCTGAAATATGGGGTGTCAGGTTGTTTCGAGACTTTTTTTTTTCAGGTTGTTTTGGGACATGTCAAAAGTCGTTTTGGGATTTATCTTTTTTTTCAAATAAATTTAAACAATCGATTGGATAAAAGTTATAACGACTTATTATAGCCTTCTCCCGTCATACAAAAATGAATGAAAATAATAACATCGTTCATAATATATTTGCTTGATTTGATGAATTGATTCTCATACATGTCTCAAACATATTCTATGTGTTTCACATTTTTACTTTCATAAAATTTAATCTCAATATAGCGAAAATAAAATGCTGAAAACAATGTTAGAATCAATGTTAACGTCATTCGTCTCTCTATGTCAATAATGGAGAATAGAGTGAATTGAAAACATATTACAATATCAAACAAGGAATCAACCTATCAATAACTACAGAAATTGAATGTTGAATTTCACAAGCTCTTCTAGATCTGTATGTAATAATGAGATTAGTTTCATCAGGTAACAACCCACTGTCAATCGGGTAAATGTTAGTAGGTATCCCCTCAAACGCTAGCAATCTGGTAACACTAATGATCCCATTTACAGGACTTAATATGAAACAGGAGCGAAATGTTACTTATAAGTGAAATTTCTTCATGTCCCGAAATGATCTGATTAAGTCCCGAAACATCTTGTGTCATGTCGCGAAACGACTTGTTACCAAAACGACTTGTTACCAAAACGACCTAGGCCTGTTACCAAAACGACTTGTTACCAAAACGACCTGTTACTAAAACGACCTGTTACCGAAACGACTTGTTACCAAAACGACCTGTTACCAAAACGACTTGTTACCAAAACGACTTGTTACCAAAACGACCTGTTACCGAAACGACTAGCATTCAAATATAACATTTTCAAATGAACAGGCCCAAAAGGTAACAGGTTGTTCAACTTCATAATTTTTCCTTCCTCAGTCGATATCGACGATTACATAAGTCGGCTTGTGCTGTAGTGCATTAATTATGATGTACAGTGATTTTTTATTTTTTATTTTTGTTATATGTTATAGGATAAAAACAGGTTAAAAGCAGTGAGTGAGTGTTAGTTATGTTGTAGGTTTTGTATATGTTATATGTGGTGCATGTCCTGAATTCTGCTAGTGTTTCTGATTGGATTATTGTTTTGGGTAGGAGGTTCCATTGTATTATGGCGTATGGAAAGAATGAGTGTCTGTATGTGTGTTTAGATGAGTAGATATGTCTGTAACTAAGGTCGTGTGCTTGACGTGTTCTGGTGTCTGCCAGGATGAGATTGTTAGTGTGTATTGCTACCTGTTGGTGTATTATTTTGTAGAGAAGAATAATACGTGTTCTTGTCCTGCGTGTGTGTAGTGTTGGCCATTGCAAGTTGTGTATCATATCTGTGACTGGGCTTGTGTTATGGTATTTGTTTAGGACATATCATACTGCTCTTCGTTGTACTTTTTCTAATTGATTTAGGTTATTTCTATAATGTGGGTCCCAAACTGAAGAGCAGTACTCAAGTTCTGGTCTTACAATGGCCTTGTATGCATGTTCTTTTATGTGTGGTAAATTTATTTGTAGGTTGCGTTTCAGAAAGCCTAATGATTTATTTGCATTTGATGTGATGTAAATAAAGTGTTTGTCCCATTTTAAGTTGTTTTGAAGTGTGATGCCTAGATATTTGTTTGAAGTTACATATTCTAGTGTGTGGTCATTTACAGGATCCACATTCACTCTGCAAGATGACTGTGGAGCGAGGTCTTGAATGCCTCCACATTCAGCTGCTCGACGACCTCTGATGGTAGTCCATTCCATTCCATGAAAGAAGCTGTATTTGTAGGTGTCGGTGTTGCATCGTATGTTGATATAGCCGTCAATCATCTGCGAATAGCTTTACAATAGAGGTGATTTCTGCGCCAATATCGTTGACGTATAGAAGGAACATCAGGGGACCCAGGACTGTCCCTTGGGGGACCCCTGACTCTACTGGGACTTCAGCTGACGATTCTCCATCAAGTATACCTCTCTGCGATCTCTGGGTATAAGCCAGTGTTGTATCCATCCATGGGTTTCCTGCTGTATCCCATAGTGGGACAACTTCTCCAACAGTCGTCTATGTGGCACGGTGTCGAACGCTTTAGAGAAATCCAGAATCATAACGTTGACCTGCTTCCTGTTGTCCATGGCTCTGGAGATCTCATCCACTGTTTGGAGAAGCTGCCTCTCACAAGAGTGACCTTTCCGGAAGCCGTGTTGATAGTTGACCAGGATGTTGTTTTGGTTCAGGTGGTTCATTACTTGCTGGTATATGATGTGCTCGATCACCTTGCATATCCACATATTGCTGGTAAGAGACACTGGTCAGTAGTTGCTCGGGTCAGTCTTGCTTCCTTTCTTAAAGATCGCGTTGATGTTGGCATTCCTCCAGTCATTCTGTACATTTCCAGTGTCGTACGAGTGATGAAATATGAGAGAAAGGGATGGTGAAATTTCTCTAGCTGTTTCCTTCAGCACTCTTGTAGGGATGCAATCAGGGCCGCTCGCTTTGCTCGTGTACAAGTTCTTGAGAAGTTTTTTTTTTCTTCAGCTGTGAAGTGAATCCTGTCCATTGGTCCGTAGGGTGCTCCTTCCTTGCGTGGTACATCTCCCAGGGGTTCGCTGGTGAACACTGACAGGTACTGTCTATTCAGAGCTGATGCCTTCTGCTTGGGTGTTGATAAGAGTTCCCAGTTCTCCTTTAGTGATGGTATCCTACTACTGTTGCTTCTCTTACTCCGGATGTACGAGTAGAACTTCTTGGGGTTTTCTGAGGAACTGGTGTTCAGGAATTTGGTAGTGTATTCACTGTGGGCTCTCTCCAACTCCTTTTTCACGGTCTTCTCCATCTTTTTAAATTTTGTCCAGTCCCCTGCCTTCTTCGTTTTCTTTGCCCGTGTGTATCTTCTCTTCTTCTGGCGACATAGCCCCTTAATTTCTGGCATGATCCATGGTAAGTTCCATCTGGATGTTATCCTCTTCATGGGGATGTGTTTTGCCGTGGAGGTGTTAATTAAGGGCGGTTTTTGAAGTCTGTCCAGAGTTCCTCAGTGTTTTTCCTGGTGGTATCGCTTTGTAGGTGGTTGTTGGTGTAAAGGTTCATGTCCTCTCTTATTCTGTCCATGTTGGCTTTCCTGTGTAATAGGACGAGTCGGGGCTCTGGGCAGTTCACGCCCTTAATCGGTATTTAGTGTGTCCCCGAGTCCTGCATCGCCCTATGTTGTCAACCCAGGTTCGGTAGGTCATAACTTACGAAACATGTTGGCTAAAGAAGAGATAATCCAAATAAACAGTTAACAATATTTATTAATACTAGAATGAGATATTTACAGATGATGATTACTTTCACTCACACTTCCACACTACATTCGCATGCGAACTCGCCCCTGGGTCTAGGTCCTACACAGGCTTAAAATTCCCCTTACGACCACCCGCCTGGTGCTAAGCTATATATACCTAGAGGATATTGTGGCACACCTCTGGAATCAAATCCGATCGACTGACCTACAATTCCCAGGCAACGACTGTATTTATACACAAGCCAACCAACCCGAAATGCATGCGCTCGTGCAAAACTATCCTTGGCATGTTATCGACTATCTAGTTGATACACTGCACGACAGGGTCAACTCCAGTCACCCAGAAATGACCTGACAATGTCACAGTTCAATACTTTCTGACGAATAAATACAGGTAAGTTACTTACTGTGTGCACTAACTACTGGCAGTGTATTGCCACAGAATAAATTAAACTATATATTAGAATATATTTTGCACCAAAAAACCCTCCCCTACTACACTTGTATTGGTACACCTTTCCCTCTTGTCTTCGCTGTCTCTTGGCGTTGGTGTTGAGTTCGGCAATGATGATGTCGTGATCACTAATTCCGGGGTGTACTTCAACTTCGCCCAGTAGGTCTGGATTTGTTGCGAGAATGAGGTCCAGTATGTTGTTGTTTCTGGTGGGTGTATTACACATCTGGTGAAGGCAGTTGTTGTTTACGAGTTCTGTGGCCTGTTGGTTGAGTACATTGGAGTACTGTGGTCTTTCACGTAGGCCTATGCTGGTGTCAATTTGTTTTTTTGTGGTGTTTGTTGGTGTTTTTT